CCATATATTACAGTGAATACTATGCTAGAGCCTAGTTGAACAAAAAGTCATATATAAAATTAATCAAGACCATTCATTATAACAACAAATAATAAAATATTGGCCAATGATTCACCTATTATATCATCACAAACGATCTTCTCAGATAAGGAGTATTCTTAAAGCAGATCTCAAGAATTTGCTGAGAATAAAAAATTACAATATCCTGGTATAATAGCAACAGCACTTAAGACTTATATCCTTAGTGCTTTACAGCACTCTGAACAGTTTATAATGTCAGCACATTACCCTCAACAATATGGGTCTTCATTTTATCGACTTTGGAAGGATGGAAGGCTGAATCAACTAAAAGCTGGTAAGGATCAAACTCCACCAGGATATGGGCAGAATTAGCATGCAATACTGCATTCTGACCACTGTGCCACCAAGGTTCATATTAGCACATAAGTACATAGATAATGTACATATAGTACATTACCTATAAGTACATAGACCTAACTAAATTGAGAATGTTCTATCAATTTCCTAACTCAGGATATGCAAGTATTTTGCTATGTTGAGGTCTGGGTTTTATATCCAAGGTTCTTTGAGCAGAACTCCACCCTGCTCAGCATTCAAAATCAGAATTCCAGGAGAGAAGCCATAATTTATCTTTAATTTCCTATCCTTGGAGGTAAAAAAGTAGCTTTAAACAAAATTTAAACATGGTAAGCCAGGACCTCATCTCAGTTCAAGTTAAATTGATCTCAGCATGGTAAAGTACAGATTATCTGAACAGTTTTTGCAAATATTTTAACATTTCATATGCAAATTGATGTACTGTCTCAATTATAATTCATATAAGAGTTGGCTTCAATTACTTTTAACCTGGCTGAAAGTTATTTGGCTCCACTACTACATTATAAGAAATACAAAGTAACTGTTATATTACTTGGGTTGTTATGAGAAATATAGCTATTATGTCCTCCTAGCACGGAGAACTATCCCCCAAGTATTTGAAACAGGTCACAATATTCGAAACTAACTTCTTTGGTTAACAAAGATATCTTTGGCAAAACTCAATGTTCAGCCAGTGATTTTTGCAAAAGAAGGTCAAAGACCTTAGCTGATTGTTCTCAAAAAATACATTTAAAAGTGATTGTTCTTAAAAGATACATTTAAAAAAATTCAAAAGTTTGAAAAGTGTAAATTATGAGAGATAATCAAGGAAAAATAACATTTTCAATTCTATTTACACAACTGCAAAACTGATACATTTAGATATGATAAAGAAAAATGTTTATTAAATAATAATTCTTAAACTTTAGTAACAAAACTTTAGTAAAGCCAAACAAAATTTAATCATTACCATTTTTAAACAAAAGTCTTTGGTATAGTTGAACAATAACTAACTGCAGGACTAAATGCAGCTTGCCATTACTACTGAGTTTGTGTTTGTGTGTTTATAGACTCAGATACAAAATATCCCACAAACAGAGCATTCCAGTCCTGCTTGGAATATATGGAAGCAAGTTACATATTATAAATCAGATTTGTTTTTATAAGACAATGAATTTTTGTAGTCAAAAGCAAAAACAATTTTAAATATGCATGAATCTTTATCAGACATAACACATTCTTCACAAGGCATAGTTTAGAGTTCCTTTCTTCCTATCTGAATATTGTTCATTTTTATTAATTTTGTTGATCTTTTAGAAACATTAAGATATATTATAAAATGATAATACATTGAGGCTTCTTATAATAAAATAGGCACTTTTTTCAGCATCACTGCAAAATTTGTAAATAATTTTCTTTCATTCTCAATAAATTGGCATACTCTACAAAAGCTATCTTTGTCATATTTAAAGAGCATACAACTTGTGCAGACTCCAAACCAGAGAAGATCACTGTCTGTGATCTCTATGAAATCTAGATACTAAATATCTCAAGCTACATTACATCCTTACCATATGCACTGATCTCTCTCTCTCATACACACACATATATACACACATAAATATATACACACATATTACCAAAATAAACAACTGCAAAAGTTTGTAGTCATAATAGCACCTTCTGTAGATACATTGTTAGAATGAATGCCCAAAGTAATTTTTGAGCAGTTTCTTAAATGTTACTGAAAAAATGGCTGTGTTCAAAAGACAGCTAACTAGAGATAATCTCAAGTTTTACTTAATGTTTAAATGCATTCCTGTTTCTGAAATTATTTCAAATGTTTACAAAGAGAACAAACTCTCTTAGATATAATAATCTACTTAAATTCCTGTAAATAATTCAATCTTTAGCTCTCATCATTTTTTAATGGAAGACAATGTTTGCATTTAAAATTACTATAATTGGAATTATGAAATTGTAATATATCAATACGCCATTCACCTATTTTTAAAATTATTATTTAAGAACTCAAATAATTGAAATTGTGCATCATTTTATAAATACTCAAAAATTATGGGAAAATTGCATTGACTATGGCATTCCAATCCAGTATTAGACTAGACTAGCTATGTTTTATAGAAATGGCTACCTTACATTATTATGGAAAAACAAAAGTTGTGGCCTGATGTTAATGCTGTTTTTTACTACAACAGAAGGAGTCGGAAGTCAATGTTTCTTTTTTTCTTTTCCCCAGTTTTCCCTCACTTTCTCTCTCCTTCTCCCCCCCCCCCCACTGTGTCTTCTTATTTACTTTTGTATTTTGTATTTTATCTTATAACCTAATAAAAATGATAAACACTGGAAGTATTAGACTAGCACATTCTATTTTATATTTTAAGAAATTTCCTGGCAGTTTTCTCTAAGCTGCTTGAGAGCAACAGTTTTGGCACCATAGTTTATTGTTATATACATTGAAATATGCCTAGGTATTATCAAAATAATGGTTCAGACATCTTAGAAACACATCAAATTGAATGTACTGATTTCTTTTAAATACACAGAATATCATAAGGATATTATTAAATACATAAATATTTAAAGAAAGTACAAAGGAACAGTGAAAAACCCATACACTTATAAAAAACTGATTCAAGAGCCAATTTTGCATTAAAATAATTTACTGAAGACACAAGATATGAGAATAAACCTCATTTCAACTTAAGCAAAATCCCACATATTTAATATAAACAAAGGACAAATCATCACATGTTATTTTCTAATTATGAATAATACTGTATTTGATTATTCTCTGGGCAGTCCCTCATTTTCTGTAAATTAGACCTGTTCCAGTCCTTAAAAATAAACAGTTAAAACACACAGAGGCAGACTCAACCTCACACACACACAGCAATATTTTAAAGCAACTTGTAGCTCATGCTTGAAATAATAAAGTTCAAAAATAAAAAGCTACTTTTTCAGTCTGAAAATGGTTTCTCTCCCATGCATATAGGCCTGAGGCCCTATTGCAAACAGTGTTTAACAGGCCCAGGCAGCACAAAGACAGGAATGGCAGATTACAGGGAGGGAGGGAGGGAGAGAGGCCGGGTTTGGGGCTCAGCAGGATCTTCAGGCTTTTTAAAATTCAAACTGCTGCCTGACCAATACAAATCACGGACACACTGCTGACTACTACATGGATTTACAGCATTAAAAACACGCCTCCTATGTGACAGCTATATTAACTTCATCCTTTTAAACATGTATCAGGCTAAAAAGCACAATTGTACTTTCTTAAGTTACTTTACTGAAAAATATTAAATATAAGACTAACTTTCAAAAAAATAGAACATCTACAATAAAAACTGAGCACAATTAAATGCCACTTTGTCTTACCCACCTAGGATTTAAATTGGTTTTAAAAACAGCTATCAGACCAGCTGATATCACAATTCCTCATACCATATCAGAGAAATAGATTTCTCTATATGAGAAATTAGAATTACACTGGAAGAAATTACAGGCATCTATCCAGTGTCTAAAATATCCTAACGTTTTTACTAAAGTCATTCTTCATTTGAGAATATTATTTAGATTATTAACTTTCAGGCATCTGATTCAAAGTTACACAAACCAGACACATTTGAAAGTAAGAACATTTTTCAACTCAATAATAATCAGGGTATTCAGAGGTATGCATCACTATCTTCAATAAAACATATTCCCATATAAACATACTTAAAACGGCAGGCTCAATTATTACAATTCGCATGATTTCACAGTGGCCTAACCTTTAAAACGTCAAGTAGCTATATAGACAACCCTTTTTCAAATAGGATACCTATTCTTACAAATAACTCTTTCCTCTTAAGGACCAAAATTTACTGTGTATCTAGAAAGTATGACATAAATGGTACTAGGCAACCCATAGACTCTCCCAGTGAACTGGATATGTCTATTCTGAAAATTATTCGGAACTAGTTTTACTTTTCAATAAAATCTATGCATTTGAGAGGATGTACGCAATAGTATCAATCATACCTATCCAACTACAAATTTGAAACTAAGACAAATAAAAGATGCAACTGTTGCAAACGCAAAACAAACGGACGCCCGTCTCTCCCCTATTCTGACTAGGACTATTACGTTCGTCTCTTTCCTTTCCGCACTCTGCCCCCCCATCCCCCGAAGTTGTAAATATGGCACAGGTTCGGTGCCCAGTCGCTGTTTAACTGTATTGTTTCCTCCTCCCACTTTTGCTCTCGGGCGCCGAGGCCTGTCATAGTGAAACCACTTCGGCTCTCTCATCCCCGAGCTGGAGTGGAAGCGCTGGCCGCTGGGCCTGCGCCCTCCTCCGGGCCTTGGCATCTCCAGCAGCTCGGCAGAAACCACTCTCATCCGCCAAACCCCAAGAGGAGGAGGCGGAGAGAAACGTGAAACACCCCTGGCTGCCACTCATTATTCACCCCCCCCCCTCTTTTCTCCCACACCGGCCGAAAAGGCTAATCCCCGCTCTGCTTCCAGACTGGGCCGCCTCGCCTGAAAGAAGGCCCAACTCGCTGCTTATCTTCAAGCGAATAGAAGAAACGCGGAGACGGAAAAGCGCGAGCGGGGGCTTTTACCTGAGCTAAGCGTCGTCTGAATCCAACCGAAAAACCAAGCGGGGGGGGGGGGGAAGGAAAAAAAATCCGCCCCCCTCCCTCCTCAGAGGATCCGCCACTGGGCCGCCGCGGAGCGGGAGGAGGAGGAGGGGAGATAATATAACAACAATAATCCGGGCCGGGAGGGGGGCTGGCTCCTCTTCCGTCTCCTCCTCAGTGCAGCGAACATGTAGAGCCGAGGAGGGGAGGAGAGCGGCCGAAGCGAATCCCTGAAGTCGCCGCCGCCGCCGTCTTCTTCTTCTTCTTCCTCCTCCTCCTCTTTTTATTTTTCTTCTTCCTTCTCCTCCTTGCCGTCGTCCTCCCAGCGAGCTTGATTCACCCCAACATCCACACAGGCCGGGCCGAACCGGATTCGATAAACACCTCACGCACCCACCGAGCGACCAACCCCGGGAGGGGAGGGAGGAAAGGAGCGAGCGGAGGGGAGGGGGATCTCCTCGGCCGCGGCTTGTTCCTTCTCTTCTTCCGCCGCCGTCACCGCCTCCGCCTCTCCTTCTGTGGACGCGGTCGGGGCGGGGCAGGGAGGGGATCGCTTGGGTTACGGTGAGTCGGTACCGGGGAGGGAGGAAAGGAAGAGGGAGGAAAAAATAAGAGGCTGCGTGAATGTGTCGCCCTCGCTCGCTCTCAGAACAAAATGCCGACCGGAAGTGCAGTTGGAGGAATGACTCCCTCCACCGGCGCCAAACACCAACAAGCTCCCCCTTCTCGCTCTTGCCTGCCGCGGCCGTCGGCTTGGCTTCTGCCTTCCGAGAAAGTCTTGCGCGGAGAACAGCTGGACCGTATCTGGAGTTCGCTGCCTCTTCGCGACAGCTGATGGCCGCCCTGCGTCGCGTGTCGGAACGTGGTGCCCCTGTGGCTTCTTCCTTCTTGCTCGCAGTTTCTCTTTCTTTTCTCTTCCCTGCCTCCCTTTCTGAGGTACCGGAGGAAAGCCGGAGCGTGCAGATAAAAGTCTGACCTGCTGAAGAAGCGAACTCCTGCGAACTGTCAACATGAGTAACGTGGCCGAGATAATTTTGTAAAGATCGTGTACCTTTTTGCCTCTTTTCTTTTAAATAGGTTCTTTGTCAACCCTTGGTGCCATGTAAGAGAATCGGAGAGAGGAGAGAAATGTCTTATAAAAATACTTATCGTAGAGAGATATTTTCTTGTAAAAATACTTATCGTTCTTGGGAAAGTGCGCATCGGGTTCTCACAACTCGAAGGCTGAAAGGTTGTGCGCCCTTGTTACCCTGCTTTTCTGCCACATTGACGCTTGTGCCTGATTCCGGTTCCGACGGACTTGAAGCTTCCATTACAATCGCTATGATTTTTAGAATGGAGGTGATTTTTGCCCCAGCCTCTTTTTTTTTAGGTAACATGAAGTGAAAGCATTCTTCTTTAGATAATGGGGTTTTTGTTGATTTCTGACAAATAGACACATTATGCATTGGAGAAGATAGTGACAATCTGTAAAGCTAGTTTGTATTCATGTAAATTTTGTGAGCAGTGAATAGAAGGAAAGTATAATTTCAGTTTAATTAAATGTCTTCTGATTCAGTATTTTGGCTTTTATTGTGCTGCTGTTTTATTTTGAAAGATAAGAAATTAGAATTCTGTACTCCATAGTAAAAATGGAAGTACAGTAGTTTGCTAATTTTTAAATACAATTTAATTTGCATCAATTTTCTTTAATGTTTAAATCCCTAGATTTTTTTTTAAATCCAGTCTGATATTTAATTTTGAACTAGGCTGATACTAGATTTGCTCAGATTTCTAACTAAATTAACTGTGTGTAAGAAAAAAATTGTTCTTAAATATATCCTGACTCTTGTACTTTTAAATTAGCTTCTTGTACAATTCCTTGATATAAATTCTTATCAATCAAGAAGCATAGATTTACTCCAAAATTAAAAGCCCAACCATAAAGATGGCTGCCATTATTATACAATTATTTAGAAATAAATCTGAATGAATAGAGTAAGATATTTTTTTACAGTTTACGCCTGTGTAGAATGGGGCTGCACATCTTAGAAAGCTTGGAGTTGTTAGTTGCTACTGGCTTATTCCATTAACTCCAATGGGATTTAATTTATCTTAGTTAAAGCCAAAATGAGTTTGTTTCAGTTTTTTTTATCTTGCCTTTATTATTTTTATAGATAACTCAAGATGGGTAACATACTTAATACTTTTCCTCCTCCTATTTTTCCAACAATAGTAACCATCTGAGATGAGTTGGCCTGAGAGAGAATGACTGTCCCAAAGTCACTCAACTGGCTTTTATGTATATGGCAAAACAAGAAATCAGTGTTTTGTAGTTCTAGCCTGGTGTCTTAACCACTAAACCAAAGGCTCTCTAATAATTTAGTCTTTAGGTGGCATTAAATTGGTCTCAATCCCTGGCAGCTTCTGTTGAAATGCTTGCCAAATTCACCTGTCCCAGCTCTACAAATATTATCGTGATCTTGTTCTTATCCATCCTTTGTTATCTATCACCTTCTTAGCCTCACCAAGCATTAGTTTTATTTGTTTTCATATACAGAAATTACAGTTATTGCCTTAAGGAGCAGTCCATTTTTGATCCAGGGTTTGATCATTAGTTCTTCTTATAATCTGTGGTTCTCTTTATAATCATCTCCAAATCCATAATTCAACGGCCTTATCCTAATTCTCTCTCTCCTCCTTGTCCAGGTTTTTGATACATTGTCATTGAAAACTCTTGTTGCTTTTAATATTTTTACCTGTGCTATCACTTAAATGTCCTTTTTCCTTCAGGATCTTGTTTAAGTTTGTCACTGCTTTCTTCGGTAGAATAAATAATCTCTTTGTTTTTCCATTATAATGTCTACCTTATCAGTACTTGAGCACAAGTACTTTTCTACCACTTTAACTTCTCTATTGTCACCTATAACATTCACCAAATATCCAGGATGGCATTGTATGTGTCCTCATTATACATTAACACAGATTTTCACTTTCCATTTTTCTTTCATAATGATCTCTTTAAAGTCTTTTGTACTTTCAGTTAACAATGAGGTATCATTTTCATATCTCAGATTACTAGTGTTTTGCTAGATTACTAGTTTTGATTCTAGCTGTCATATTTTGTAATGTAATACAATATATTTCTTAGAATTTAAATATTTACCAATTAAGCAGATTTAACCAGCAGTACAGTATCCAGTCTTTATCTTCTGAACATTTTGTTTTCCTCAAAAATCAGCTTATACTATAGCTTCTTGTCCAGGTCCCTCAAAAAAATTAAGGGTTCTTTTTTATATGCCATATTTGCAATCTATATAGTCAATGGCTTTGCTATGTTTAGACAAAATCTACACAGTCAGAAATAAATCTTAACATCAACTGATGCCCTCAACTAACTTTGTTTTGCAATATAAATTTTAAATTTATGATTGAGTGTAGGCAAAAAGATTTTAATTTTACGAATTACAACATGAAGAAATGTAGGTTGCAAAATTGTAGTTATGTCTAAATTTCTTAGGCTGTAGATTTTATGTGTATTCCATGTATATATTTCAATAGGATGTTGGGAAAAAAGCCAAGGACATCAGCAGCTATGGGAAGGTAGATTTATGAAGCTTCTGAGAAGCTAAGGGGCAGCAGTTTCATAGCTGCCAGTATTCTTGGTTTCAAGTGCAGCCTATTTAGCTAGCCCACTCCAGGTTCCAGTAATTTCTCTGTCATTTTTTTGGTATCTTTGAAGCTGTATATATGTAAGTCTTTGACTTACAACAGTTCGTTTAATAACCATCCAAAATTACAACAGCTCTGAAAAAAGTGATTTATAACCATTTTTCCCACTTTATGACCATTGCATGGTCACCTGATCAAAATTATGATGCTTGGCAACTAAGTCATATTTATGATAGTTGCAGTGTCCCAGGGTCATGTGATCACCTTTTGTGGCTTTCTGACAAGAAAAATCAATGAGGAAGCCAGTTTCATTTAACAACCATGTTACTAACTTAACAACTACAGTGATTCACTTCACAATTGTGGCAAGAAATATAAAAAGGGAGAAAACTCACTTAACAATTGTCGCACTTAACAACAGAGATTTGGGGCTTAATTGTGGTCGTAAGTTGAGAACTACCTGCGTGTATGATGCCCTTAAGGGATGGCTAAGGGGAGATAGGGAAAGAAAAGGCCTGGAAAAATCAACAGGGATGCTGGTTGAAGCCAAGCATAGTGTCAGCATGTGGCAGTTAAGGGAAGATAAAGAAAGGTGGGACTGTGAAGATCAAGGAAGTGGGTAGCCCAACTGAATAGCTGTCACTGATGTCCTTAGTAAAATTAGTACATAGTTGATTAAAAACCTTATGAACTCTTGGTATGTATGTGCTCCAAAATATGTTAATGACTTCTTAGATCCCAAAAGCTTATTCACCACTATTTAACCTCACTTTTTTCTCTACTGTATCCAACTATGCAAATTTTCAATGAAAGTCTTCTTTAGAAATCGATTAATACTATATTTTTCTATGTACGGCCCCAATATTTGATCAATTTTAATCTTACAGTTTTTCAAGTGAACTTTACAATTATTTTCTTATCTGTTGAAATCTTTTCTCAAAATTTTTTCAAAAAATGAAATAGACTAAATTAGTTTTAGAAGACCTAATTAAAAGTTTACTGGGACAAATATCAATTAGATGAAACATCTATAATTAAACATGTCTAAATAAATATATCTAGATAATATGATAAAACATGTCATAATAAAATAACAGCTTCTAAATATCTTACACAAGAAATGTGTATATGTTGCATGTATATGCACACGTTCAATATAGAAAGCCAACTTTTTCCTTCTATGAAAAATTTAAAAGTATAGCAAATTCTCTGACTTGTTTGGGGGACTCTTTTTTTTTCATCATATACATTCTAATTTCATTCTAAAACTCAAGTTAAAACAATTGGGTAAATCTCAAAATATGTTTATCAATATATTCTACTAGATATTATAGCACTCACGGTCTAAAAGTATAGATGCAAGTTGGGCAATGTAATACTGAAGACCTTATAGAATAGGACCATGAAACTTGGATGTAATGTTTTTAAAATTATTTTCAACAGGTATTTTACAATAGTATGCAAAATTCTTTTTATTTATTAAGCAAACTATAATCCTTACCTCAAGACCCTCAGGATAAAGACAGGCTAGACATACTTTAAATAAGTCAGTAAATAAAAACTTATTTGTAGAAATAATTTAATATTTTCTTACCATGCCTTCTTTCCATCCTTACTAAATCCTGTTTCTGAATGGGTGATCCTTTATTCTTTTTCAAAAAAAATGCACCACAACCTATTTCAAGACAGTAGTACCAACAATAGAGTTTATTTTTTAAAAATAATCCATGATAATTTGTTCCTAATTGTTTTCAATTTTTTTTTAATTTGTTCATAACAATACATTTTA